TTGTGGGGATGGAGTAAACAATGCACAAACTTCTGTGCTTCAGGGGAGGCTGGAACTGCACAGCTGCTGCTGTGAGGAGCAGAGCAGTGACACAGAGCTGATCACTGTTGACCTCTTGTAGGCTCAGACACGTCTGTGCTGTGAGCGTGGTTCGTGTGAGCACGTTGCCATTCTTTCCAGGCACACAGGAGTTGCTGCAGCTCGGCCTCTGCCCCGTCCTCTGGCAGTGCTTTTGAGGAGAGGATCAAAAGAGTCCTCGATCCCACTTTGATGGGTTCCAGGCGGTTTGCTGTGCTCACAGAGCAAGAGGCAGCAAGGGATGAGAAGTTGGGATGACAGAGTATTTCAGTTTCGGCTTCYATTAGGACTGTCAAGCTGTGCAGGGGAAGATGAGTGACCCCACTCAGTGGGTGACAACAGGCTGGTGGAGCCCCTTCGAACCTGGGAGGAGAGAGGCCATGCTGGCTGCTCCTTCTGAGGGCAGAACAAGTCCCCAGCAGTCTTTACATGACCTGTATCCGTGCAGTTTATGGACCYTTCTATAATTAACCATTGTCAGGAGCACTTCTGAAAATGCCGGCTGGCATTTCAAATRGGAACATCAGATTAAGGAGAAGAGARGTAATGAGGTGCAAGGAGAAAATCCTTCCCTGGGGAACAAATCAAACCTGATATCATCATGAAAGGTAATGAGAAATGCACTGCCAAACTGAGGTTCACTGCAGCTGCCTAGAGGAAACGAAACCGTGTACTCTTATTTAAAACACTGAGAGGGCATGCTAATGTTTTGGTCTGCTGGCTAAGTCAGGCCATGTGCAGCTTGCACACCTGCCTCTTGCTTGTAGTTTTGCCACACAGTTCCTGAGTGCTTGRCCAGTCATTTCACTTCTGTGTGACATAAGGGGTGTCTGCGTCGATGTGAGTGGGTCAGTGCAAGCAGAATGTGCCTGTACGCCCACAGGACAGCTTCAGACACTGTGACTGCATCTACAGTGCCAAACAGCACAGGGATAAATGGCACAGGTGAGTCCTGTCCACTGCACAGAGCTTGGCTTCTGTCCTTTTGTCTGGAGGAGACAGACCTGTCCCCTTCTGTCTTTACTGCACATGGCAATGTTGTCCCCTGGAGCAGTCACGGACRTCACCTGGACTGGCAGTGCCAGACACTGTGCTGACAATTAAGGTATTGACCACCTGTGATCCTGTAAATCAATTTGTTTTCTGGCTGTGCTGCATTTAGCAGTAGAAATGAAGGCTGTGTGGCTGTGTCAGCACGGCTGTGTGCCCACACTGATAGATAAATCAGGGTGTATTATTTCATGCATGGTGCTACACAGTGGAAGGAGTTGTAGCCACAAGAGCTTATGCCATAGATACATTGAGTATTAGGTGACTGTCATCATAATTACTAACTTTGCTGGTATACCCAGTAGCTTAAAGTGTGCAAGGAACCGTGGATATTCTCTATGTYGTTGCTTGTGAACATGTTTTCAGCCTTTAGCAATTCATGCAAGTTTTCCAGGAGAAGCACGGCTGACCTATAACAAAACCCTCTTGACTGTGGTTGTGCTTTCTGGGCTCCTGGTGTGTGTGGAGCTCCAAGAAGCACCAGTTAATGTGTGCAGACACATGGGACACATTCCAAGGAGAAGGGCGGATGTGGAAGGTGAGATTTCCCTTAGCATCTTTTCTGAGGTGCTGAAACACCTGATGTGGTGTTTGATGCCCAGGTACTGGCCCTGTCTTCTCTGGGACAAGGATACCATGTCACACAGTGTCAGTCAGAGCAGGGGCAGTAGGGTGTGAGGACAGCCACAGCCCTGAGTGGCAGCCAATAGTCCTGTAGGGCTGAAAGAGTTGGGGAGCATGAGGACTCCGTGCCATGAGGGGCAAGATGTTCTTATCCTCAGCTGCCATCCTGTTGATGTACCCTCATTGCTGATAGCAATCTTAGGTGTCTGCAATCTTGGTCTCATCTGTGTGACACCTCTCTTCCTGTGACAGCTCTTCCCCCACRCTGCCACAGACACCACAAGAGGTTTTGTTGCTCCCCAGGTTACGTGGCAGGGAGACATTTACTCCATGCAGCCCTCTGCCATCCATTCTAGATCCTGATAAAGGATTTGGGGCTAAGGCTGCTTGAGCTGCCCTTGGGCTCCTTGCAGGGTTAGTGGTGTCATTTTTCTGCCAAAAGCCTTGAATGACATTTTACTTAAATCTTGTGCAGTGTGAGTTGCATGGATATCAGCCAACAYGTTGTGAGTCAGAGCAAGGCAGTCGGTATTGCAGTGCTCCACAGAAGAAAAATAAAAGGGTAACTATTACAGTATTTACAGTATAATTTTTCATAATGARTTTTACATAAGCTTGTTTAAGTTCTTCAGCATAAATCCCCCATGAYTGTAGAGGAGCCAACTTGTTAAGAGTCCCTATTTCCCAGAGAGCCCAGAAGAAAACAGAGTGCTTTAGTACATCTAAATTCACTCGAGTGCGCCTGGTACTATCAGTTAAACTCCATAGAAAACACATTTCTTCTCTTCACAGTTTTTGTCATATTCCTCTTTCCCTGGTGTTTCCCCTGACTTGTCTTCTTCCTGTCTCTAACACAAATATAAGGAGAAATGGCACCTTTTTGCTCTGCAGATTTGCCCCCTGTGTACATTCTTCCTGCCAGCAGCAGACTGCAAATGTTTCCTGCTTTTTGTCTTGAGAGGCACCTGGAGGGAAAACGGCTGAACCAGACTGTGAGGCAGAGTGTGTTTAGTTCTGTGCATCATTACTGATTGGTGCTCACTGGTTTCTGGGCCACCTGATTACCTGCACAAGGCTGATGTGAGGCAGCTTATGGAGAGGGTGAGGGGAGGATTTCACCTGCAGAATCTGGTACTGACCTTGTGTCTGGGTGGCTGATTTCTAGTCCTAGTCCATGGGCCTGACAAGTGGCAAAGAACAAACTGAGGAGTTGTGATGTGGTATGTCCAACATGATGTACGTGGTGGTACCATGAAAATGGCATCTCTTTTCAGGGAGACAACACTCCTGCCTTTGGGCCTCTTTTTGTTTGCCATTTGCACTCATTTCATTGTGCTGTGAGTCAAAAGTTGACTGCTGCATGGTAAAACACCCCAGCTCCTTTCTGTTTCAACCAGAATTATTGTGTGGTCTGTCCTTTGGCTGATTCCTTCCCCATACTCCCCTGACCTCCTTAGAAAAGCCGTGCTTCTTGACTGTGTGAAGCTGGATTTGCAAGATTGATGTTCCCTAAGCATTTCCCACTGTGGTGCCCTGCATATTTTATATCARTGTTCTAATTAGACATCAGATCATGATGGATGAGTGTTCATGTCAGTGACTCTGGACAATGAAGAGTAGAAGGAAGGCTCCAGGAGCTTGGGAAGTGAGTTGGTCTTATGAGAACTATTAAAATGGTCTTCCAGGCAGAGTTTGGAGTTGACAAGTGATCTCAGRTGGGATTCCCTCTAAAATGAAAAACTCTGCTTTGCTCTGACTTTCTCGGTACCTGCTCCCACACATCTCCTTCAATGGTGGGCATCGTCCCTCAGGTAGGTGTAGTAAAAGCAGCTCAGCCCAAAATGTCAGAAAAGTGTAGGTGTGGACATGGAAAAAACAGAAAAATACCTGGGCAGGTCCTAGCCCTGCTGAAGGAGCAGAGGCTGGTCACAGAAAAGCTGCTCAAGGCTGAGCACTGTTCCTGTCAGAAGGCAGAAGCAGCGGACTGAGACTCTGTTTTGCTTTCTTTCCAGACTCAAGCCAGCTGTCTCTTAGTCTGTGCTGCCTTTCCACTCACTGCCCTTCTCTCTTAGGTGTCTGCTACAGCAGCACAAAACAAAACACTTTCTTTGCGTTGTGGAAGGCATAAGTGGGGGTGTTCTGGGTTCAGCAGTCAGCACCAGGCCTGTCCAGCTCATTTGTTCAGAAGATTTCCTTGCAAGATTTCCCACACTGAGCACAGCAGCCTCGTGTGAGTGATGGGGATGCGCAGCAGTCTCCGTGCCCGGTGGTCAYTCCTCGTGGCAGACGGTTTCAGTGATGTGAATCAGCTCCTGAAACAAATGTGCAGCCAAGTGCACATTGGAGCTGCCTGCTGGCGTGGTGCCAATCCACATCCCTTCCCAGAGCATGAACAAAGCCAGAAATCWTGTCTTTTTATCTGGAGCTGCTTGGTGCCGTCTTCTGTCAGGGTTTTGCCAGCCTCTCCAGGTGATCAGCAGCTTATTGCAATTTTTAAACTGATTTTGAGTTCCAATCAAGTGCAATCTCACGAGAATCCTGGAGGGAGGGCTATTTAGAGCAGGCAAGCAGAATGTCTGTGTGTGCTGCTGGAACAACAGGGAAAATTGCTGGAGGCCAAGGAAAAGAATCCTTTGGAAAAAAAGAAACCTGACATCACAAAGGGACAAGCCTTCAAATCTTCATCTTGATATAAGAGGGCAAATACCCACTTTCACAATATGTTGTATTCAAGATTTTTTTTTGTTTTGGAAGGCTGAGAGAAGGTTCGTGACATCTTACAGTGGTGTCAAGAAGATGTCACCCCTCTCTCTTACACATCTTCTTTTCATTCTTTTTTTCCTTTTCTATTTTTGTGTCTGATGTTSAAAGTTCATTTGATTTTCTTATTCCTCCTGCATTTAATTTCCCTGAGTTCAGTCTCTGCCTGGATTTAGAGTCACAATCATTAGTATTTGKAAGTGTGGGGTTAAAATGATAAAATAAATCCGCTAAAATGTAAGGGTTTTTTTCCATCTAGCTTTTCAAGATCTAATTATTTTTCAGYTGATCTAGTATGCAATTGATAAGATGAAAATGTAAATTTACAGGTTTAGTATTCAAAGTATTTTTCATCTGATCAAAGAAAGGGAAGCATTTTAGAAAACATGAAGCTTGTGTTCTTGCAAATGCCTGAAGTTATGTGGTTGTAGTCAAGCCATCAGGAAATCCACAGGGCATCCACTAATGCTTATTTTGTTTTTCTACAGGAGGTCTTGACCTTATCTTCATGCCAGGCCTTGGGTTTGACAAAAAAGGCAACAGATTGGGAAGAGGGAAAGGATATTATGATACCTATCTTGAAAGATGTATGAAACATCCCCGTGGAAAGCCTTACACAATTGCTTTGGCTTTTAAAGARCAGATTTGTGAATCAGTGCCTGTGACAGAAAATGATGTGCCARTAGATGAAATCCTTTATGAAGACTGCTGAAAGTGTTTGGATACCAACCCACCTTCAGAGCAACCAACCAAAAGTGTCAGATCCATCAATCATGGCTTTTTCTAGTTGTCATATATCACTTTGGGACCAATAAAATATATTATTTGTGTTTGGGAAAAATACCTCAACAAAACAGTGTAACTGTGGAAATGGTGGTGAGGATTGTGTCGATTTGCTTCTAATTAGCAAAWGTCTGGTGTGAATTCTTATTCTAGAATCAACAGAAACAAGAATGTGTGACTGTTTATTATAGGAAGGACCATTTCTTCYGATAATATTTTTGAGGTACAAGGTTCTTGATAATTAACAGTTTMATTATTCCAGTTTAAAAGGGAACTCTCTAGTAATGACAGTTCTTGATCCATTCTGAAATTAGATAAAAGTTCTTAGTACTTCGATATTGTGTGCTTCCATGAGCAAAACAAGAAACTGATGGAGATTGTCTTAGAGTCAGCTGGGAAAAAAAAAACGATGGGAAAAAAGCCTTAATTAATTTTAGTGTATGCAATAATTTTGACTGTTTACTTGGCTCCTTGCAGTWGTCTCAAAATAAAAGAAGCACCTGTTAATAAAACAGGTTGATGTCCATACTTCTGGTATGTTCTTTCCTTTATCTGAATACAAAATTGTAATGTAAAATGTGGTCAATGAGTTCTCCATCTGGAGACAGTTCTTTTTCAGTAAAACAATATTCAAAATTACTTTAAGTTCTCTAATTTTGTACACACGCCATTCATAATGTCCCAAAATACTGTGTGAAGCGTGGGTGCTATGTTAAGTGATAAAGAGATGCTGAGAATTGCAGAGAGCAGGTTTTAGGGATGGAATAAATTTTTGGGTGGAAGGTGGTTGTTCTCTGGTTCTCAGGACAATCATGGAAATCCAGAAGAAGTGRATTTCCTCTGCACACTGTCCTTGTATTACCAGGACGCAATATTTCCAATCAGGATCAATCAAACTGTCAGAATTTTGTGTTTCTTCTTCAGTGCAACTTCACCTTTTCTATGCATGTTTAACTCTTCCTTTAATCAATAAATCTCTGTTTATTTTCACCAAGCTACTCTGTGTCATCATTAAAAAATCCATAAATTCTCAAGGACCAGCTGCAGAGTGGAATGACCTTAAGGCTTCCTCRACAATAACTGTTTTTGTGAACACAGCCATGCCTGCAGCACACACAAACATTTTCATCTCAGAGTGCTCGTGTTCAGCACTATTTCATTGTGCTAATTCAGGAACTAATTAAACCCTGTGGCCCTGGGGTGAGCACAGGCTTAGCAACTGAGGTCTCCCTGGCCTGTGCTCCCTGGTGCTTCTCCATCCTGTGTTAAGGAGGAAAAAGAAGATCCCTTCAGTGTTGGCACTGGGCATCCCAGCAGTGAGCACACAAAGCTGGCTCTGTGCAATACTCTGGGCTGCTCAATACCTCTGTGCTGATCACACTGAACCTTCCATCCCTTCCCTGGCACACTGTCCCAYCCCAGCAAATGAGAGCTGTGCCTCTCTGTGTACTCCCATCTGTACTGCCTTACAGCAGGGAGACAGAGTCCTACCATTCCACACCTTTGGGGAATAAAAGTCATGAGAAAATAAAAGTCATAAGAAAAAAATATCACCTTTTATCTTTATTTTTCCATCTCTGTCATGTCAGTATTTTAATCCCTTCTTCATTTGTGAGCTTCCCTTGGCATATGGAGAGCAATAACACGAAACAGTGGGGCAGGTTTTGCCTGTGGTAAGCCTGTTTTTGGGTTTGTCTGCAGAGCTGCTTGAGTTCACCCAGCACTCGAGGCTCAGCACTGTGCCATATGCCACCAACATCAACAAAGCCACGCTGAAGCCAGTGTTTGTCACAGYAGAAACCTGGAACCTGCATCTGACACGTTTTAAATGCATCTATTAGGTCCTTGGCAGCCCTTTGGATTAGYTTTTTGATTTTGCTGTCTGAATTTTGATTTTTCACTAGAATAAGGTTGCTTGGCTTGTGGGTATTTCACCACAGATGATACCAGGTGAATGACTGTGTGCAGAAAGGTTGGCATATGGGGAAGAAGCTTCAGAGCCAGAAGCAGCAGCTGTACAGAAACCAAGGGCTGAGAGACAAGGACTTGGTTTTGTTGTGTGACAGTTCAAAATAGGAGGGGGGGAAATGAAAAACAAGATTTTGGATGCAAAGTACAGGCCCCCATCCAGCACAGAGGCACCAAGCTTTGTCCTTGTGGGCTCACTGGAGTTGCTGGAACTAATTGGTGTAGAAAAAGCAACCGAGCTTTGAAGGTTTTCAGGACTGGAGGCAATGAGTGTCCCCAAACTTCTGTCGCAGATCACTTTTCAGTACCTCRTGCAGCCATTCTCTCCTGCTTTCACTCCAAACTGCCCTTTTGGCTACGGCTGCAGTGGGAAAGGATGAGGAGACTATTTAATGTACTGTATCATTGGGAAAAAAAGAGCTGGTGCTTTGTTCCTYGCCAGCCTCTCCTGAGTCAGGAGTTGATCATTCCAGGCTCATCAGCCAGGCTGGGGGAGCTGCAGGACCCTGGCTGATGCAGATAGCTCTTAACATTTAGCTGGTGGGGATAGTAAAACGATATTTATGTATATTGCCTTGAGAATCACGGAGCTAAATAAACGTGACAGCTTTCATTTGACATCCCCAGCCTTGCTGCTGTCGCTCAGGGTTTTTCCTTTTGCCACAAGAACATGAAATCACTGTCAGTTTGATGGTGTACAGCAGTGTTCCCGAAGCACAAAGGTTTCGGGGGGTGGTGGGCGCGTCAGGATTATTTACGTTTGCTATGCATGAAGTGGCACTCGGGGAACGAGGCAGGCTGCCAAGACAGGGCTGTCTGGTTGCTCTCTCATATCTCTGGATTGTCAGGGTAGGATTTATAAAAATTGCTTCAAAACAGTATCATCTTTCCTCAAACGGACGTGCCCCCGTCTGCCGTTAGCGCTGTTCTCGTGACAAAGCGTCGATCAATCTCTGCTTTGTTTATAAACAAATCTGCCTGCCCTGCATGAGAAACAGATAGGCTCGGGAAAAAAATACCATTACCAAAGGAATAAGTTAATTATATTTCAGGATCTCAGCGGGGAATGCTATCTCAGACTATTCAGTAAGATCTGACCAGTGGAGTTATAATTAAAAAATGTCCCCSGGGAGGAACTTGTAAATTATTTACTGTAAGGGGCTTTTCCAGGCTCTTTTAGTTTAATTACACACTCTGGTAGAGAAAGGCCTCAGAAACAAATTAACTAAGATGTTGAAATGGCTTTGTTAAAATCATGTTTACAGCTAAGCRAGTGGGTGAGTGTGAGCAAGGTTCAAATATAGGACAAATCTTTGAAAGGTGACATAATTCACAGTTTAAAAATCATATGGAAAGCACCAAAAAGTCCGTGCATAGAAAATGCTATTGCTGGTTTGGTCCAGTATTCCCACTGGCCTCAGAAGGCTTAGAGTGAGTCCAGGTCTGACACTGGCCTCATGGCCATTTCCTTTGTGGGAAGGGAGCTGATTTCTGTGGGATTTTCCATTGGGTTCAGAGGAAACTGGTTGGACTCGATGATCTTACAGGTCTTTTCCAACCTGAACCATTTTATGATTCTAAGCCCTAACAGAGAGAGATGAAAGATTAGAGGTGGTGGAAGAGGCAGAATAAGAGGATGCTGCAATGATCTGAATTTTCCATCACTCTCTTACCATCTAGGACATTTTAACTCGAAACAGCCTGGTTAACCCTTAGTGGAAGGTGGGCTGAGTGTGTCCCTTGGTGCTGAGAGACAGGCAGATGCTGTGACCTTTTCAAACGTGTGGGTGAAGGCATCTGCTGTGATCTCTGGTCAGATGTGGAGAATGGGAGTGAAGAAAGCTTCCCCTTCTCTCAACCACTGACTCATTGCTTGGCCAAGACGGAGGCATTATCTAATATCTGTTTGCTAAGGCACAAGGCAGCCAGGAATACTCTATCTRCCTGCCTTTTGATGCCAAATTCTGTGTGTGTGATGGCCTTTSAGCTGCAGTTGCCCTTGAATTTGTTTCTTTCTGAAAAGCCCCACGTTTCCTGCACAGAGCAGCCAGCCAGGCACGGCTGCTGGGGCCCTTGTACACAAAAACAGCACTTSTCTTAACCTGGCTCTCCCTTTTCTTTCAGATTTATTGCACTTGCATGTCTTGCTTAGATGGAAACTGCCCCAGAGTTGCAAATCTCTCTCCCCACTGTGTGTTCACAATCTTGGGCTGATGCCATGTGCTTGTAGCCTCAGGGTACCGTTATCACAWCCTGAGCAATAAGTTCTCCACCTTCAGGCAAACCATCTGAAAATCTGGAGATGAAAGCTGCTTCAGTCGTTCATCAGGCAGATGAGATCTCTGCTTTTATTTTGTTATACTGTAAATCTGCTGCTTAGTTTTCTAGTCTCTCTGAAAACTACTGAATCATAAAAACGCTTGTAGCAAATGCCAGCTTGTCTGTCACYAATATAATGCATTTTAAATGGCTTATCAGCTCCAAGAGAAGACTGCAATACTTTGRTGATTTGGATATATAGTTAGGGAACAAAATATGTTGTCGGTTTTCAAATTGTCTTGGTCAGTAGATTTTATTTTGTATTTTACTATAGTGCATCCAGTAGTACTTTGGGAGGAAAGAGAAGATACCCCTAAATTTCTGCAAATGTGGCTTTTTGAGGGGGGAAACCAGAGAAGAGTGGAGAAGGGTGTAATGTAAAGCAAAGGATTTGTCTTGAAAGGGCAGGACTGTAAGGTTTGAATATTCTCAGCAGMACTACTGCCATTTAATTATTAGGAGTGGTGAGTCCATATTAACCTTTATGGAAAAGTACTGTAGGCTATAATAAAGCTGAATACCTTTCTATAGCCTTTTGTTATCACCTTGTCACATTTAATAAAATATTACTGGCAAAAAAGTTCCATTAGGATGGCTAAAAAAAATTACTGGAAAGGATAATTTCCTGTTAAGTAGTTTAGATTGACCGTGTCCCCCCACAGAATACGGGTGTCTAAGTGGTGTAGCAGATCACTGATCATTTTCCCTTGAATTATGGGGACTTTCTTCTGTTCCTTATCCTGTTTTCCAGCAGAACCACTGGTCTCACTGGTGGCAAAGAAGGTGTTAAGTACCTCAGCCTTTTCCTCATCCTCTCTCACTAAGCTTTTTCCCACATCCTGGAAAGGATGAACATTCCCCTTAGCCTTCCTTTAATTGCTAATCTATTTATAGAAATATTTTATAGCAGCCAGGTTCAGTTCAAGTTGGGCTTTGGCCCTTCTGATTTTCTCCCTATATGACTCCACAACATCCTTGTTGTTCAACCAGTCCAGCCTTCCCCTCTGGCACGTCTTTTGCCACATGGGGATGGGCTGCTCTGCACTTTTAGGGTTTCTTTCCTGAAGAATATCCTTTACCCTTCAGGATCTGCCTCCCAAGGGACTCTGTCCACCCAGCTCCTGAAAACGGGCCAAAAACCAAGGCAGCCATTCTGCTGAGCCTCCTGCTTCTCCAAGAATTAAAAAAAAAACTATTGATAATTTTCTGATTGCTGTGCCCAAGGAAGCCTTGAACCATCACATCACCATTTCTGTCWTTCCTGGTGTGGGAAAAGCCCACGGTCCCCTGGGAACATCACTTTGGGAATTTTCCAGCCCTTTAATGCAGGCAAAAGTGTAAAATGTAGCAAG